ACACACACACACACACACACACACACACACACACACACACACACACCTCCAGCCGCAGCAGCCACCTGGCCCAGCAGCACCCTACAGGCTGAGGCACTGTCTTCTAAAGTGTTTGGTGTTTTCACGGCCTCCTTAGCCCCGACGACGATGGGACGCGTCCCGCCCCGGGGGGCCCTGCACCTGCCGACCCCAGGCCACTTTCCCCTAGAGCTCCGGGGATTAGCGCACAGTGCCGCTGGTGGCGTTACACCTCAAGAAGGGAAGAGCAGGAATTCGCCTTCTCCCTCCCTCTCCGGCAGTAGCTCCCTGTCTCTTCTCTGGTATTTCTTCTCTGGTATTTCTTGTTTCCTCCACAGAGGAACAAGAACGCTGGGAGCGTCTCTCCCGTCGCCAACCACCGTGAGGCATCTCCCTAGGTTCGAGCTTGGGGATGGCACAGGAGGTTCTGGCCGAGAAGGAGCTTAGTCTCTGCGTACAGAGAAGAAGCCAGGATTTCTCTGTTTGGGCCTCCTGGGTCCTCCTCCCACTCGTTGCTCTTTAGGTGGCCCCAGGGGGGGGGGGTTTATCACTCATAAAGCACCCCTAGGGCAGGGTGGCTGCGCAGGGCATCACCCAGCACCGAGCTTCTATCCTCCCTGTCTGTAGGATGTCCAAGGATGCAGGAGAAGGAATCCGATGACCACCAAGCAACAACTAACAGGCCGGAGCTAGAACCTGGCTGCCTGGGCTACGGAGAGAGGAACAGCCTGGGGAGAAGACCCAGGGACTGAGGGGTTGGGAGACTTAGAAGGCCTGTGCTCCTCTGCCTCCGAGACCCCAGTCTCTGTCTACCCAGACTCACATGGGTAAGGACCTCATGCGGACTCCCGGGTAAAAGAAAAAGCTTTTCACCCAAATTCGAAGGCTTGTGAGAGCACCACGGGGTGCTCCGCCTGAACAATAAGGTTTCCGTGGTGTCTTTCGGGTACCTGGATGGGAAGCCCCACCGGAGCAGGTGCGCTCCCCAAAACTCATTTTGGAATCAGAGCCCTCGCCTCCCCCTCCCCCCCCCCCCCCCCCCCGTGCTTGGCAAGTGGGTCCGGCTGCGGGATGAGTCACCAGAAAGCGAGCGACAAAGATTCCCAGCAGCTAGTAATTAATTGAACCGTGGCTCAGTCCACGACGGAACCCAGTCAGGCCTCCAGCTTCTCTGGCAGCTGCGGCAACCCTGAGTCACGGCCGTCGGGCCTTCAAGAGGTCCGAACGGGCCTGCGTGCCTCGGTGCCACCAGGGGGCGCTGGACTCCGACCCAGAGCTCGGCCCGCTTTTGAGCCAAACCAGACTGCGACGAAGTCCAAGCTGTCCCCAAAGGGAAGTGCGGGAGCGGGGGATGGGCTGAGCTCCAAGGACGGGCTTTCAGGCTCTGAGCGAGACACTTGTATTCGGTTTACGAAGTCCCGGTTGCACACAGCGTTTCGGAAAGATGGAAAGGGACTTCTTCAGCTTGAAATTGTCCCAAACCACTTGTCTCATAGGCGAAGGAAATGGCCTCCTGTCCAAGACCACAGAATTACTTCCACCTAGAACCGATTGTTCCCAGGCTTCCGTTCAGCTTTTCCTCCAGGGCCCCACTGGTTTTGCAGTCCCGAGAGCCTCTCCCACACCTCACAAACCAGTCCTTGAATGGCTTTTTGACTGCCGGTGGAAATGAAACTATTTGGAAGAGAGGCTGGGTTCTGCCTATTCTGCTTGCATCCGTAGTCCTCATTCTTAAGAAAGATGTTCAGCTACCACTACAGGTTACTCCCCAGCGATCGCTCAGATGGTGGCAGCGCCCCCCCCCCCATCTGCCTCGGGGGGGAGTTCTGAGAATTCCAACTCTCAGAATTGGGTGCTGAGCCCAGGGATTTTTTTTTTTTTTTAAAGCTAGGGGAAAAAAAATAATGTTAAAATATCATTTGCCTCTTAGATAATTGCCAATTAAGCTCAGAAATTCTTCTTGCCATTGTCTGGCTTGGGCTCACCTGTCCACCTTTGAGTCAATGACAGCTTCCTCCCGAGGTAGTGCTGTAGGTGGAACCCTGGGGCATCTTGACTAGTCTTGGGCATGAGTAAGAGGTTCGGGGAAGAGCTGAGACATGGGGAGAAAGGTTTGAGGACGTCAATACGGGGCACAGCTGTGGCCAGTGAGTGGGCTCCCGGTCTCTCTGTGCCCCTTCAGGCGTCAGTCCCTAGACCTTCTTCCACTTTGGTTCTTTCTTTAATAAAAGCAGATGCATCTTATTAGCTAATAAAACATGTCCTGGTTTTATAACTCTGCCGCCTACTTGTTTGTTCTGTTCTGTACACACAGGTCTGCAGCCCTTCCTCCAGCCCTTTCACAGAGAGAGAGGCCAGTGGGCCAGCATATCCTGGCCCCACAATGAGTAAGGAAGGGAGGACTCAGCTCCTAGGCCAGTACTTCTTCACACCCCCATCGTGTGTCTGACCACAGAGGCTGCTGCTGGAGGGAGGGAGGGAGGGAAGAAGGGAAGTACAGCAGTGCAGCGTTCTGTGCCAAGTATCCCAGGCTGACGCCACTGCTAGCCCAGGAAAGTTTCTTTTTGCTGAGAAGAAGCCAGAGCTGTCCGTGGCTCCCTGGACATTTTGAATCCTTGGGAGTGCCAAATGCTTTGTCACAATTCTCTCTCCAGCTCTGAATGCAATGCAGAGGGTCAGAACCACCGCCGCTTTGCTTTCCATGGGTGAGAGTGAATTCTCTCACAGCCTTGCTTGGAAGGCGGAGCATCATGGAGTCCTCCCACCAGCGAGCTTTGTGATGGTTAATACAGACTGTCAACTTGACAGAATCTAGAATGGGCTAGCCTTTGGGCATGCGTGTGAGGGATTATCCACAAGACAGACCCTAGTTGTGAGCAGCAGCAATTCTTTAGGCTGGAGTCCTGGACTGATTAGGAAGGAGGAAAATGAACTGAGAGCACCAGCATTTAGGATGTCATAGGACCAGCTTCCTCAAGCTCCTGCTGTCCTTGTAATGATAGGCTATCTACCGTGGAATGGTGAGCCAAA